CTCCTCCCTCCCTCTGACATTCATCAGTCTCATCTATGCTTCCATGTCATTGAATCTACTCTGTTCATCAGTTTATTAAGTTCTTTATAAACTTGTTTCTTAATTTGCTTCATCCCACTTCTTTTCATAATAGTTAATTTATATTGTTTTAATTATATCTTTATTGACTGGACTAGCATTTTCATAAGTCTGTGGCTGAGAGTGACCTGTTTGTGGCTATATAACATAATCCAAAACATAATCATCTACCTGGTGACAGCTCCGGAATTGCAGGGATTAGCCTAACTGAAAATCCAGTTGAAATTCATTACAGTAGTCCTCCCATATCTGTAGTTTCACTTCCCGTGGTTCCAGTTACTTGTGATCAACTGCAGGCCAAAAATATTAAATGGAAAATTCCAGAAATAAAAAGTTTATAAGTTTTAAATTGCATGCCATTCTGAGTACTGTGGTGAACTCACGCTGTCCCACCCAGGACGTGAATCATGCCTTTGTCCAGTGGGCCCGCGCTGTGGACCCTACCTGACCATTAGTCACTTTGGTTATCAGATCTACTGTCACGGTCTCCTGGTGCTTGTGTTCAAAGAACATCCTTATTTATTTAATAATGGCCCCAAAGTGCAAGAGTAATGATGCTGACAATTCAAACATAACAAAGAGAAGCCTTAAAGTGCTTCCTTTACGTGAAAAGGTGAGCACAGTGCAGTAAGATATTTTGAGGCAGAAACCACGTTCACGTTACTCTTATTGTATATTGTTATAATTGTTCTACGTCATTATGAGTTACTGTTTTTAACCCCTTCCTGTGCCTAGTTTATAAATTAAACCTCTTAGGCGTGTGTGTAGGAAAAGAATTGTGCGTGTAAGGCGTGGCGCCGAGGGCCTGGAGCAGGGGGATGCCTGTGTGGCAGGTGGCACACATCATTCCTCGCGTGCGGCCGACTCGGCCTTTGTCCCAGGTGATACGGTCAGTTATTCAGTGGCTTACAGACGGGAAATCGGCTAGACGATTGCTGGAGGTTCCCGTCTTCATATCGTGCCTGTGATTATTGAGCCTTAGTTTGAAGTTGCATCTAGGAGCTGACTATTCCCGGAATAGGCCATGACTGTTTAAGACGCATGATTTCCTGGTTGTCTAAATATGAACTTTCATCAGTCCCTTTTCCATTTCCATGTAACTATCAGAGTTGCTTATAGTATATTTTTAATATCTAGGAGGAAGTGGTGAAGTTGACTGAGAAATGTCTTAATAATGCCATTGAGAGCCCAGGGTTGAATGCGAGGAGGGTCCCTCCCGACTTGAAGAGTAACATCCTGAAGGCTCAAGTGGAAGCAGTGCATAAGGTAAGCGGCCTTTAACACAGAGTCCGGGCAGTGAACGGAACGTGGACCTTAGAGGCCAGGGACTCTGGGGAACAGATAAAGCACAGAGTAAAATACATGCACGTTAAGCAAGAGTGAGCCCGCTAGTGCTTAGAGATGGAGAGCAGTGCCAAGAAACATGCTCGAGATGGCAGAATGCTTTCCCAGCTCTAAATACAAGCCACATTAATAGGGACAGTCACGGGATACAAAGCAAGCGTAGAGACGCTCTAGGGTTTAGAAAGTTTTTTAAAAAGGTAAAAATCCTATAGAAGTGAGTCCCTAATCTTTGTCACTTTTCTAGCCAGAAATCTAGAGACTTTGGTTCCTGTCAATATTAAATCTATGATGTTAGGGTTTTTAATCAATCTGCTATTTCTCACCACCCGCGTACCCCCAGTTTGACAAAATTATGATGTTTTAAGCAACAAGAATGAACGAGTCCACTGTGACATCGTGAGGGATACAGTGGGTTGGGCCCAGCCCCGTGAAAGTTTCGGCCTCCGTGCTCCCCGGGTCAGTGTTTCCTTGGCTCTCCGTCACTGTCAGACGTGCCCTCTGTAGTAAACCAGGACAGACGCCTCTCTCAAGTCACCTTGGCGACCAGGAGCACAAAGCATCCTGCTGTTGAGAAGACACACTTTACCCATCCTGCCAGGCACAGCCTTGGAAAGAACTGAGAGCATGTTGTTTGTGCTTTATACCTGTCCTCTTTTCTCAGTAAAGATATAAAACATAATATTTACATATAAAAGTAAATATAAAATATGGCAATACAGGCCGCGGGATCAGACCACTGGAGTTTGAATCCTATTTCTAATCTACTGCCTACTAGCTTTGTGACTTAGCAAGTGAGTTAATTTCTTTGAACCTCAGTTTAATTATATTTGGGGGAAAAAATAGTGGTAGTGTGTACCTTAAAGTGGGTTATGAGGATGAAATGATAATAAATGTAAAAGACACGGTGTAAATTACAGTGCCTGACATGTAATGAGCGTTTAATAAGTGCCAGTCCCCAGTGTTGGAACTACATGTAGCTGCGGTGGTGGTGGTAGTTGTCATTACCTTACATTTCAGTTATACTTTTGGATATTTCTTTAATTGAAGAAAAGAGAAATAACTTGAATAACCCTTAATTAAAGAGGTTTTATTTTATAGTTAAAAACCTTACCATGAAGAAAAATCCAGGACCAGATGACCTCATTGTTATAATCTACTGAACCTTTAAGGAAGAAATAATAACAGTTCTACACAAACTCTTTCAAAGAACAGAAGAGGAGGGAGCACTTTCCAACTCACTTTATGAGACTAGGATTACCCCAGTACCAAAATCAGTAAAAGATATTACAAGAAAAGAAACTATAGACTAACCTCTCTTGAACATAGACCCCAAAGTCCTTAGCAAAATATAAAGAAATCATACAATTCACATAAAGGATAGTACATCATGACTAAGTAGGGTTTACCTCAGGAAGGAAATTGGTTTATCATTCAAATACCAGTACAGTTCACCATATTAAAAAATAAAATTTTCTCAAGTTCTATGGAAAGTCATTTCACAGAATTCAACCCCCCTTCATGATAAAAACTAGGAATAAAATGGAACTTCTTCATCCTAATAAAGAGCATCTATGAAAAAAATCTACAGCTAGTGTCATACTTCATGGCAGAAGACACATTCACTAAACCATGGGTAAATCTCAAAAACATGCTGTTTTAAAGAGATAGACACAAAAGATAGGTATAATGACTTCATGTACGTGGAACCATAGCAAGGACGGTTCCTTGTCTGCCATGTGTAAGGGTTTTGATGGGATTGCATTTTGGAGGTGGCAAAAGTGTTACCTATGTTCACTGTAGCGTTGATCATGCACCTGTATGTATTTTTCAAAATTCATTGAGCTGTACATTAAAAATGTGTGTGTTTTACAATATATAAATGATACCTAAATAAAGTTGAGAGGGAAAACTGACTTCTTTAGAAAAATTTTTAGAATTCTCTCCTAAAATATTTCTTGCATTCAGGGAAAAATAAAAAGCCAAATATATAGCTTAACATCTGTTTCTTTTTTTATCATGTAAATCCGAAAAATTCTGGCATGGAATCTTTTGGGAATCTGTATATATAGACTAGCACACCATGGTGCTTAAATAATTGCAAGCTATCTAGTATAGCGTGTGGAAAGTTTCTTGTTACTTTAGTATCCTCCACAAAGATTTAATGTTTATTTATGATTTCATTTTCTTAGGTTACAAGAGAAGATAGCCTGTTAAGTCATAAAAACGCCAGTGTTCAGGATGCTGCCACAGACAGGTACAGTTCTGGGTAAACTGAATTAAGTGATGTTTTTTTCCTCTTAATTTTTTTGGGGGCCCTTTTGCCTCTTCCCCAGTCTGTCACCACGTGATTTCAGGAGAGCTGTTTGAAAGACAGCTTGAATTCACTTTTCTGTCCATTACATAACTGCTTAGTATCTAGCTGTGGATTATTTGAAGAGAGTACTAATTAATCTCTCTATGTTCTCATTCTTCTTCAACTGATTCAAACTACAGAGAAAAAACAACCTTCACAGGTATTTTTAATTTTATAAGGTGCCGGGGACAAATGTATATTATTTCTCTTAGGTATGGTATTTAACTTTAGTGCCACCCTGTCGTCACAATGGCTTTGTTCTTATGAAACTTTCTTACTATGGGTTCTCATAGTCCAGCAAATTTCTTTGCATTTCTTTCAAAGTCCCTTCTGCCTCTCTTTTCTTTAATGTGTATTATGCCATTTATTTGTCCACTAGGCTTTTATTCCTTGCTCTCTGCAGTTTGTTTCATCACTGTATTTAGTGCTCTGTGTTTAGTTGGTGCTAAACATTGTTGAATGAATGAATGCTGCTTTTCTTCTAATTATTCAAAACTTAGTGGAGCGTTTTCTGATTAATTATATTCAGTTCCAGGTACCGTAATCAACATAACACTTAAGAATATAGCAGGCTATGCATATAGGACTTGGCAGGTACTAATTGGTGATCAGGGTTAAACTAGAATTTCAACTTAACCTTTAAATTAATTTGACCCACAACATTTTTAATACTATTATTATTGGAGCCTTTAGAAAAACCTCATTAACTTTTTTTTTTTGGCCAACAGGAAGATAATGGGGATGGGGCCTCCCTGTTTCATTGAATTCTTAAAGCTGGAAAGAGCATAGAATATACTCCACTTTACTTCCAGATTTATTTTTCTAAATGGCTGTTGATATCTTCAGTAATCTATTTTCCTGCCAGGATTTGAAATGAATCCTTTAAAATATACTAAGTTCTACTCATCGGGCAAAAACTAAAGTGTTTCCCTTGATTAAGATCAGGAACAAGACAGGGATGTCCACTTTCATCACTCCTATTCATCATAGTACTGGAAGTCCCAGCCACAGTGGTCAGACAAGAAGAAGAAATAAAAGGCACCCAAATTGGGAAGGAGGAAGTAAAACTGTCATTATTTGCAGATGACATGATACTCTATATAGAAAACCCTAAAGATTCCACCAATACACTAGTAGAACTGATAAATGAATTCAGTAAAGTAGCAGGATACAAAATAAACATTCAGAAATTGGTTGCATTTTTATACACCAATTATGAACTAGCAGAAGGGAAACTTAAGAAAACAATCCCATTCACAATTGCTTCAAAAAGAATAAAATACTTAGGAATAAATTTAACCAAGGATTTAAAAGACCTGTACTCAGAAAATTATAAGACACTGAAGAAGGAAATTGAAGAAAATACAAGTGGAAGCATATACCGTGTTCGTGGATAGGAAGAATTAGCATTGTTAAAATATCCATACTACCCAAAGCAATCTATACATTCAGTGCAATTCCTGTCAAGATACCAATGGCGTATTTCACAAAACTAGAATAAATATTCCAGAAATTTATATGGAACCACAAAAGACCCCAAATAGCCACAGCAATCTTGAGAAAGAAGAACAAAGCTGGAGAAATCACACAACCTGATATCAAACTATATTACAGGCCATAGTAATCAAAACAGCATGGGACTGGCGTAAAAACAGACATATATCAATGGAACAGAATAGAGAGCCCAGAAGTAAACCCACACCTTTATAGTCAATTAATATTTGACAAAGAGGCAAAAACACACTGGGCTAAAGACAGTCTATTCAATAAATGGTATTGGGAATATTGGGCAGGTACATGCAAATAATTAAATTAAATCACCTTCTTATACCATACACAAGAATGAACTCAAAAAATGGATTAAAGACTTAAGTGCTAGATTTGAAACCATAAAAATCCTAGAAGAAAACATAGGCAGTAAAATCTCAGACATTTCTCGTAGCAATATTTTTTCTGTTATATCTCCTCAGGAAAGGGAAACAAAAAATAAACAAATGGGACTATATCAAACAACGAAGTTTTTACACAGCATAGGAAACCATCAACAAAATGAAACGACAACCCACTGAANATGGGACTATATCAAACAACGAAGTTTTTACACAGCATAGGAAACCATCAACAAAATGAAAAGACAACCCACTGAATGGGAGAACATATTCACCAATGATACATCTGATAAAGGGTTGATACCTAAAATTTATAAGGAACATATAAAACTCAACACCAGAAAAACAAACAATCCCATTAAATAATGGACAAAGGACCTGAATAGACACTTCTCCAAAGAGGACATACAGATGGCCAGTAGGCATGAAAAGATGCTCAATGTCCCTAATCATCAGAGAGATGCAAATTAAAACCACAGTGAGGTATCATCTCACACCTGTCAGAATGGCTCCATCCACAAATCAACAAACAATAAGAGCTGGTGAGGGTGTGGAGAAAAGAGAACCTTTGTGCACTGTTGGTGGGAATGCAGAGTGGGGCAGCCACTGTGGAAAACAGTATGGAGTTACCTCAAAAAATTACAGATGGAGCTGCCTTATGACCCTATGATTCTACTTCTGGGAATTTATCCAAGAAACCCGAAACACTAATTCAAAAGAATATATGCACCCCTATGTTCATTGCAGTGTTGTTTGCAATAGTCAAGATTTGGAGGCAGCCCAAGTGCCCATCAGTAGATGAGCAGATAAAAAAGCTCTGGCACATTCACACATGGAATACTACTCAGCCATACAAAAGAAGGAGGTCTTACCCTTTGCCACACCGTGGAGGGACCTGGAGAGCATTATGCTGAGTGAAATAAGCCAGTCAGAGAAGGACAGGGACCACATGATTTCACTCGTATGTGGAATCTAATGAACAAAATAACAAGCAAAATAGTGACAGACTTATAGTAGAGAACAGACTGACAGCTATGTATTTGTGGGGGTGGGGGCAGGTTGAGCAAAAAAAACCACCTCATGGGCAGGGACAACAGTGGTGATTGCCGGGGCTGGGGGAGGGGAGGGGGTGATCAGTGGTGATGGAAGGAGACCTGACTTGGGGTGGTGAACACACAATGCAGTGCACAGATGCTGTGTTACAGAATTCTGCACCTGAAACCTGTGTAATTTTGTTAACCAGCATCACCCCAAGAAATTCAATGAAAAGGGAAAAAAAATTAATATATAGAGTTCTTGTTTGAACATGGGTCTATTTCTGGATCTTTCTCTTTTCTGTTAAACTGTGTTTTTGCTTGTACCATAGCACACTTTAAAATAATTACTGCATCCCCTTTTTAGAAATGAAATAATTCAGGCATAGAGAAAACTATGGAGATTATATAATGCATATCAATGCACCAAATATCAATCTTTGTCACATCTTCACATTTTGCTATTATAGATTTAGACCATTTTTCTTTTATCTTTTTATTGAGTTGTAATTCCCATACCATCAAATTTAAAATTTACCCTTTTCAGGGTAAATTCAATGCATTTTAGTAAACTGACAAAGTTTTGCAACTATTACCACTATCTAACTCCATAATATTCTCATCACCCCTAAAAGAAACACTCCACGCATTTGATCTCTCCACATGCCTCCCCATCCCCACTCCTGCCCCAGCCCCTGACAGCCACTGTCCTGCTTTCTGCCTCTATTGGAATTGCCTACTCTGGACAATTCATGTAAATGGATTTGTACAAGATGTGTCCTTTGTGTTTAGCTTCTTTCATTTAATATAACGTGTTCAAGGTTCATCCACGCTGTAAACTGCATTGGCGCTTCATCCTTCTTTTTGGCTGAATAATATTCCATCGTATAGATATACCACATTTTGGTTATTCATGTATCAACTGATGGACGTTTATGATGTTTCCACTTTTTGGCTGTTATGAATGAAGCTGCTGTGAACATTCACATATAGGAATTTTTGTAGATGTGCTTTCAGTTCTCTTTAATGCGTACCACGGAGGGGTNTGTTATGAATGAAGCTGCTGTGAACATTCACATATAGGAATTTTTGTAGACATGCTTTCAGTTCTCTTTAATGCGTACCGCGGAGGGGATCGCTGTCATGTGATAACTCTGTGTTTCACTTTTTGAGGAGCTGCCAAACTGTCTTCCAGTACAGCTACAGCATTTTCCATTCCCACCAGCAATGTGTGAGGGTTCCAGTTTCTCCATATCCTGGCCAATGCTTAATATTCTCCGTTTTAAAATTATGCTCATCCTAGTGAGTCTGCAGTGGGTTCTCACTGGGGTTTTGATCTTCACTTACCTAAGGACTAAAGATGTTAAACATCTTTTCTTCTTTGGAGAAATGTCAATTCAGATCATTTGTTTTTTTAGTAACTGCTTTATCGAAATATAATTCAAATATCATCCAACTCACCCATTTAAAGTGTACAATTCAGTGGTTTTTGTTTTGACACATTTGTGTTTTAAAAAATTATCTAAATTATCTATGGTTCCTTCATATTAACTGCCGCCCCATGAGTCAAGCACTTAATTCATTCTTTTATTAATGGACAGGTGTTTGTTCCAGGTTAACACTGTGTGTTCCTCCGTGTACACACGTGCTGTGAGGATTTTTCAGGGTGTATGCCTGGAGGGTCCCGGTGGTGCCCGCGCCGAGCGGAGTGGATGCGGGAGCTCCCGCCTGCTCCCTTCCGTTTCGGCGGCAGCGTGCACTGCACGGGACTGACCTTGGTCGGAGGCCTCGGGGAATCGCAAAACACACTTCACTTCTTTTAATGCTGTTTCTTATAGCAGCTCCTTTGTCTGAGCTGCCTCTTCTCTCTGAAGCACTGTTATTTTTCTCGCTGTAACTTTTGGGTTTTACTGCTCATTCCTGAGGTTCTGCATCTTCATTACCGTATACCTAAGAACAAGTTTGTTTTTTATTGTTAGTATTCAAGGTGGTCTTCGAACCTGAAGACCTAGGTCCTTTTTCAGTTCTGGAAAATCAGAAACCATTATANTGTTAGTATTCAAGGTGGTCTTCGAACCTGAAGACCTAGGTCCTTTTTCAGTTCTGGAAAATCAGAAGCCATTATTTNGGGTTTTACTGCTCATTCCTGAGGTTCTGCATCTTCATTACCGTATACCTAAGAACAAGTTTGTTTTTTATTGTTAGTATTCAAGGTGGTCTTCGAACCTGAAGACCTAGGTCCTTTTTCAGTTCTGGAAAATCAGAAACCATTATATTTGAATATCCAGTATCCATTAGTTGAAATATCTTGGTCACTTCTCTCTTTCTCATAACTGCTCCTTCTTTCTTTTCGGCTCTTTGTCTCTCTCTGCCTCGCCGTTGTGGATGCACCAGTCCTAGCTTTCACTTCACAAATCCCGTCTGACTTCTGCAGCCTAGGGTTTGTCCCCGGTTTCTCAGTGTCCTGCAGCAGTGGGCACACTGCGCCTGGTGCTTGCACACTTCAGGGATGCGGGAGGGCTGGGTCTCCTGCTGCAGGTGCCATCCTGGCGGAGGGTGCCCTTTGGCTGCCACTCGCCCCTTTCCTCCGGGTGCTGAGCCGTCTGCAAGGCTGCTCCTATTCTCGTTCTCGGGGTTAGACCTTCTTGTCATTCCTGCTGGGCCCGGCCGGGCTTGTAACGCCCGGGCGTTGGGGACGCCGCCGCGCCCAGCTCTCCGGCCTGTGTCCCTGCTGGCGGTCCCCGCGTGGGTCCCTGGCTGTTCTCCCGCGCCCCAGCTCTCCTGTGTAATCCCTGTTCCACCGAGCTTTC